TCGTCAAAGTCGTCGGAATCTCTGCAAATTCGATCCTATCCTACTCTGACGAAACTGAGATCATATAGTTCCAACACTGAATCAAAGTAACATCGGCATCAAGAGTGTCGGACTTGTTCTCGTTAGATTATTTGCGCTAGCGTGGTTTAAACGTTGGGATTATTTGCCTCTTTGGATTTGTCGAACTCAAATTCATTGCTGATGTATTATTTATTCTGTTTCAGTAAAATGGTATAGTTAACTACAGTGCTGGTCATGATTTCATGTTCGCGTGTATTTATGGCGATGGCGTCTTTTAAATAGTTTGAACTGCTGCTAAGTCGCATCTATTCCGCTCAGATTATGTATTGATTGTATAACTTGATTTCCTGGAATTTCGCTCTGGAAGGAGATATCTTCGATTGAGGCTTTTGTTCACGGTTTGGGATCTTCTTCAAAATTGTTTTTTTCGCTCAAAATTCGTGTTGATCCGTTGCAGAGTCAGTTTTCATCTGAGTGAACTGAATTTTATTTCATTAGCTTAGTGTAGAAAACAGACGGGTTAGTTCCTTTTTTCGTGATAGCGAGCGTCGTCAGAATCGTTTTAATTGTTTCAAATTCCTGTTCATTCTGCTCAGATGTAGTGTTTTAGTTGCATGAACTCGGTTTCGTCAAAATATCATTGTGATAAAAATTACTGTAATTCGTGTCCCGTTCGCGGATAGCGAGCTTTAAGAAAATATATAAGGTGCAATTTCTTTTGCATCCATCTTTGATATCGTTTGTTGAGCTTGATTAAAACCCGTTTTCTTGAGAATGACATAGTTATACAAGTTCTCGGCCCAGGTCTAGTGATCGCTGTTGGCGAGTGCTGTCGAAAGTGTGCGATTGCCTGCAAATTCGTATTCATTGTATTCAGATTCATTTGGTGTTATATGAACTTGTTTTCGTGAAATTAGCTTGGTAAGGAAAATGTTCCGGTCTTTTTTGTTCCAAATTCGCGAATGGTAAGAGTCGACAAAATCGTTTTAATCGCTGTATATTCCTATTCATCCGTCTGAGATTCAGTGTGGAAGACTCTTCAAATCGATTTCTTCAAAATAGCATTCCCAAGTGGGTGATTCAAATCTTGTCTTTGTCTTTTGTCATCACGTCATTTCTCCTACACCAAGTCCTTGAGTGTCCTAGGCTTTGTACAGCCACGAATAAAGCCCTTTATGACACTAAGATTGTGTCATACCAAAACTAAGGAACGAGGATCAATACCCTCGGCATTTACGGAAAGACGAACAAACTATTCTGCTTTAAGCTCTGCCTTCCAGCCACTGTCTTATTTGAGTACATCATCTGAAGTATTTGCAAGCACTAATGGAGTAAGCATTGGAAAAGTCTTTTCCTGCAGATACCTCGACCGTGAATAGTCCAGCATTGAATGAATGTTGGTCAATGTGGGTGTATAAACGGTGACGGTCACCGCGTTGAATCAATGTAGATGTAACATGGATGCAACAACTGTGATACATGCAATCCGCACTCAGTCAACAATGATTCAACGCCTCATTCCAAACACGTCGGTGTCTATATCGTGATAAAAATGCCAGATTTTTACAGATTTCTAACTGCTGTTATTCGTCATGTAAGCCCAACATGCTATCAGGCGAGTTACTGACCCCGAACTTCGCGTATATAGCTCGATGATGGCCCACCGAGTTTCAGTTACAACACCACGAAAGTGTGCCGCAGAACCCTCCGAGATTTGAAGTTTTCCATCGATGCTAGTTTCTTTCGTATTCAATGCAAGAGGGGTGAGTTCCTCCACCAAGAGCCTCTAGAAGTGCTCACATTTAATTTCCAATACCTGAAAGAGGAAATGTCAAATAAAAAAGGAACTTTCCCCAATAGCTAGAAACATTGTATCAAGATTGATTAAATGTTGATTCAACGTCTGGTTAATGATTGGTACAAGGTTAGGTGGTACAAGGATCCTTGATGAAGTCAGGATACTTGATAACATCCTTAAAAGCAAAGAAACCTCTTTTTTATCGAAAAATTACCCTGGTGACCCTAGATGGCCATTGTGATCCATCAGTCACAGGGCCATTAAACTCCGTCGTCCAGGTGCCCCACCCCTGGGAAACTAAGATTTAAAGTTCAGGGTTATGGGTCACACCAATTTAGCTTCAAAAATATTCTTTCATTCATTGGTATGGTTCATGGCTAGATTTGAAAATGTCTTCAAGTCAAGAGAATAATTACCTTGAAAAAAAGAGGAAATATGTTATTTTCATTTAATCTCCTTTTTTCTAATTTCGCGTTTGTATTGAAATAACTCCACCATGTCAGATGCTCGCGATAACTTTTCTTTTTATCTTTTTTTTTATTTGCAATGATATAATTTTGGCCTAGCGTCATTTCAGCAACCTTCTTATCTGCCATAAATCGAGCATTTTTCTTGAAAGAAATGAATTCTGGCCAATTGGCTAAACAAGCAAGATCGCATGAGTTGAGAAGTCTTGGGACCTGTGCTGGTTTTCGTGAACACGAAACGTCTTGAGAAATGTGCGAATCCCTGGGAATTAGAGTTTGTTTGGCTAAGTTCCTACATCAGAGCTATTTAAAATAAATTTCGTATTTTTTCCCTGTTCGGAGAAACTTTTGGTTCTCTGCTGGCGTTCACGAATGTCGAACGTCTAGAGAAATGTGCACAGTGTTGTTTGTTCGGCTACGTTTCAACGTCGGAGCGCTGTGCAATTGATTTCATCAATATCGCACGAATAGAGAAGTCTCGGATTTTGCGCCGGTGTTCGCTTATGTCGAATGTATCATGTAAAAAAATTTCTGTATTTTTTATCTGTGGTATTTTTTCCCTGAGACGTAATTTCTTTTCCTTTTCCCGGTGTCATTTGAGTGAGTTCATATATGAAAACAGTCTCCGGCGCTGAGTCGTGTTGTCTGTCGTGCTTCTGATGCATTGTCTCTCCAATGTGATGGATTCCTATTGAAAGGAGTTAGAGGAAAATGACTGAAGAACGTTTTCACTGTCGATGATCGTTTACCAATTGTTCGACTTTACTCCGAGTTAGGCCAGAACGTAATGGAAATCTAAGAAATCTTTGCTTAACAAATATTGTGGTGAAGCAAGTGTTTGGCCGAAATCATCGCCTACGCGACGGGGAATTGCTGAGTCGGCGCAGCAATGTTGTGCTCGAAAAATGAGCATTTCTGTTTGGTGAACGAAGATGTTGTCTCGTTAGATGGTGCATCGAGAACATACGGGAGCACTGACAGTGTAAAGATGAAGATGATGATCGACAACAGGTCAACTTTTCCGTCGATTTCCTCCTTTCGTTGAACCCATTCGATTTACCGCCTCCTAAGCTCGATCTAAGCTCAGGGACGAACGTTTCACATGATTGGTCTCTTGCTGTCGGAGCCCATATTCTCTAACGGTCAATGGTATACTGCATGAGACCAAATCCTCTCAGATACTACTGATTTTTGGCAGAGATGCTAATGTAAATTTCTATGGCTCAAAACAAAATCATAGTTTCTTTCTATGAAATATGGGGTCATAATAGAATTTTAGGATGCCCTCCGTCAGCAACAGCGGCCCTCCTTTGGCATACAGCGCCATCCTACGGATGCGAAAAAAAGACTCACGAAGCTCTCTGTCAGATATCAGCTGCTTCCAGCCGTCACTTGAAAAGTTATAGCCAATCAAATGAAGGTGGTGATATTTTAAAAACCACGTTGTAAGTTTGCATGTATTGGTTGGTTCTCCTTTTTGTGCCCCCAACCCAATTGAATTAAAACTCACTTTTCCTGGCCTCCGTTCGATGTACAGACATGTTTTTTGTCTGCTGGCTATTCTCAAAATAATCCTACCGTTTGCAGAATTTCATTTAATTCTGAGACACTTGAGTATAGGTCCCCAGACCCATAATTACCCAGCCTGATTGCCTTTTAAGAATATAAATGTGGAGAACCATTCCCAGGTTTACACTTCTGCCAGAATCTATTCCTACCTCTGACGCTCTTCGTTGTGAAAATCACTGAAGATGTTGAGTTTTAGTTTTAAAATAAGAGCACAACCTCAAGGACAAACTGCAATGAATATCTGGCTTGACATATGGTACATCTCATTTGTTTGAAGCGCGATTGCCAGGCTCCATCTCAGCAACAAAATGAAATCATTAATAGTTTCGAGGCGAAGAATGCTAATAGGTAGTTGGAAAGTTGGACGCTCATGTGGATTTCATTCTTATATTTTTTCTGCAATCACCTTCCTGAACCGAAATCACAGTAAGTCTTTAATTACATTGAGAGCGAAAATTCGTGTAGGATATTATTCGAGTATTCATCCAATGTCAATGTATTTCCTATTCTTATTCCCTTCAAAATCCGGCCTACTTCTGTTCCAACAAAGACGCCTGCAGAGATAGTTTCAGGTGGCCTTCGATCAATAACTTTTTCAATATATTCATATTGATACCAAAGGAAGGGATTTCAAATGGATAATATTAAAGTAAAATAATGCAGAATAAGTGATCAATAAAGGGAGAAGTCTACAACCGGAGTCCTAACGCAATAGAGACATGAAAACTTTTATTATTATTCGCTGGAAACTGCGCTGTGAGGCGTAATCGTTCCTCAATGCACAAGAAACCGGACAGGCAAATACAACTATGCATATTGCCAATCCTGTTCGGATCACCACTGTCAACGCCGAGTAGTCAGCTGTCTCGTACTTCTTCGCAGGATTCTCCATACTCTGGTTTTATCAATACTACTTCTAAAGCGGGTAGCTGCAGAACCTGGAAACCAATGTATTTTGTATTAGGAAAGTTAAGACTACATTTCTTCTACTGTGTGACGTTCACAGTCTTCTGATTGCGCAACGAATGCTGTAGAATGAGTTTTATTTATGGTTTATCCAGCTAAATCAGTAAGCAACACCTTTGCTATTAATGCACATTGCGCAACATATCAATCATTGCACATCTATACATTTATTTTTCACTCCACAATGTTCAACAGTCACCGAAAATGGAATCAAGGTAACTTGAATTCTGCGAGAACGGATGCGATTGGGGTAGCTCATTATGTAACAGTTGGAATCAAACTCTGTTACGCTTGTGCTTTTGGTTTCAGGCAAAGTTCTCCGGTTAGCGTGCTTCGTATGGTCGGCATTTGCTTCTTTTCGTGGTACTTTGTGTCAGGATTTTTGGACTGGAAACTCTTAGCCATGACCCCTGCCACCATTGTGAGCATCCTCATTACGTCAAGAGTCTCAGAATGCTTCTCGAAGACTTGACACAAGGTATGGATGTAATAGGACCCCAAATCCTCGTTCTTCCATGCAACATGGCCTGAACGTTTGTAGAATGGAGATAAATGTTATTTTATCTTCAGCTTCATGATGATTGATGTATGGCAACTGCACACTAACCTTCGTAAGTGGCGTGAGCAATGAGAATATTGGCATGGGTGGGAAGGTGATATTCATAATCTTTCTGCTCAATGCCATCATGGGTGTCACCCTTGCCGTCATTGCTTATCACGTTCCCCTTTTCTCCACTGTCGAAATTGCCCCCTCTGCATGCCTGCTCAGGTGAAAATGATCTGGTGACAGGAAGTGAATAACCTATGCCGGAAATACCTGTATGTAGCCTGGCCAAGAGGACGATATTGTAAATCTTTAAGGGAAGAGACAGGAACATGGGATAATACTCATTGTGACTAGTGAAGCGCTGTATCAATTCATTTAAAATTTATTCATTATCAAGCTTTCTTTGCGATGCAAAAGTGGGATGCGGTTTTTCGTACCTGAATAAAGAAGAGCTTTGGTTTATGAAGTAGAGCTTTACATTCACTCCCGTAGAACGAGCTCCACAGTTCCTCCTCGTTGAATTCCTTATTGTTGGTGTAGAGAATTCCTCCTTCCTTCCCATGAGACAGGAAGCACAGAATGAGGCAATCATGATCCGTGAGTTCTTGTGAATGAGCGACTGTGAACGGAATCAAAACTGACAGCTTCAGTAACATTTTATACGTGAAGGTAGGAGTTCTGATGTTATTGTGGGGCTTCACTTCCAAATTAATGAGAATTTGTCCAGTGTATTTATTTTCTCGCTTTTGTTGTCAGAATTTAACTAATAAAAGTAGCGCATTGATTTTCACAGATTTTTCTAGAACGGAGATGTAAAAAGCAGAGCATATTATTATTGCTTTTGAGGTTTTGACTGGGATTGTTTCTTTATGAGTAGAAAAAATGAGCTCGTAGCAATTTAATCAAACGTTTCACTAGAATAGGATCCCTTGTTCAAGATATTTTCCCAGAAAATGGGGAAAGGCAAAATAAGATGTTGGCGATACTCGTGCTAAGAGCAGAATTTCATGAGAGATAACATATTTGCATTTTCGCTTTTAGCATATGTTGGTTTTAGGTGGATGTTCTCCCTTCACATTTCTTCTACTGGCCTTTCTATCTCTTCCCTCTTACGTTCCACCATGACACTTTCAGACAAATAATACCTTATTGAGATACGACTTACAGGAGCGAAGAGTCGAATGCAATGATATTTCAATGAGACAATAAAAACGAAGCCCTTCTATTGCCAAAGAAGCTTAAAATGGTGTAAGAGGAAAGGCTAAATCTGTTTCATTAACAGGCTTACTTTTTCTTAGTTCTTGTTTCATGCTTTCGTAGCTGAAGTCTTTGTATTCCTTCACGACGAATCCTCGGTTCTTGAAAACGCGTCTCAAATTATCCACATCAATTTGCACTCCAGGGCGAGGAGGGAGGCGAAGTTTCGGATCGAACATTTCGTGGTGGAATATGAGTGCCCATCCCCGTATATTGTCTCCTACTTCCTTAATCCTGTAGCGTTCCATCTTTTCCGGTATCTCCGGTTCCCAGAGGCCTTTGTGACTAAATATAAAATCGCCAAAAAAAAAATACTTCAATCGAAAAGTGTGTTATCTTTTACATGGAATTTTTGATAAATATAATAATTCCTGGAATTAGCATTTATCGTACGGGGGTATATTTATTTGTACAATAACCTTCATCAGAGGAATGTCGCAACTGCTTTGCCACTGGGTGCATTTCTCCATGGCCTAAAGGTACCGCAACTTTTTGGAAAAAATGCTCTGATATAAAATGAATAATTGCTCAGTTAGTGAGTGTTTACAAGTTTCGTAGAAAATATCTGACGGTAGTACTTACGTTACGCGGGAGATTTAAATTTGGTCTGATAAAGATTAATAATACTGGCATAGAAACAATAAATTCCCATTGCAGAATGCACTGTGGGTGGGAAATATCGACGGATTCTAAGGGTTAACACGGTGTTCCTACCAAAAAGGGTGCGATAAGCATTGGATCATCGCATTCATAGCAGGTTCCAGAGCTTAAGAACTTTTCGCTCACGACGAAATACTGGCAACTTCTTATTTCATACTGATTATTGAGGCCTTGCTTCTCTCTGGGAGGAAAAACTAGTCACAAATAGTTAAATATTTTATGGAAAGTATACTTTTAAATCAGTTCAGCCTTGCTCCATTACTCTATTCCAAGGTATGAATTTACCATATCGCTGTCAGATACAACTGAGTACAGATTTCCTTAATCCCCTCTCATCTTCATCTATTCACATCATATGACAATGCTTAAATGCACGAAAACATTCTTGCAATCCATCCTTCCCATGTGACGGTTTGCGAGAATGTTTTCTCGGAATGGAAATTAAAAAAGTGAATATGGGATGCATCAGTCCAGATAATAAAAACTCAATTTAGTACAAATTATGCAAGATTGATGAATAATACATGCATTCTCACGTCACCCATCGTGGTTTCACTCCTAATAAAGAAATCAATCCAAACCGAAAAGGTTCGATCTCGAATATGGTATGTTTTGTAATTTTGTGGGTTAACTAGATCTAGTTAACCAGAATATGCTAAATAAATTTACCTGGGATGACTTGGATTCCCTTTTGGTAGTATTTTCCATCCAGGCGATGGTGAAGACACATCCGTCCTGTATATCCTGAGATTTTCTCAACATGTTAATGTGATGCATTTCTCAGAATGACTCGAGGATACAACTCAATATTTAAAATTACCACGCATCGGACTCATCGGAGGAAGCTTTTGATTTGACCTGTGTGATACCTCTTACAGAACATGCGGCTCCGTTCTCCGTGCCAGAGCTGCTGCGGGAAGAGTCCAGTTGGTCATTCCTTCAAATGGAACGAGAAGCCATTCTCAATAGAAGTGGAACGCATTTGCCTCATTTTGCCTCATGCCTTGACCTTTAGGTTGCCCTTGATGAGATTGCTTTGATGTTTAGAACAGGCTCTAAGCCAGTTCTGACCAAGGCACAGCAAACAGACTCCATCAAGTTACCGTATCAAAATGCAGTTCACCCTGTATTAAAAAAATGGATGCAGGTGGAACAGGAAGCACCAACGCTAAAGAAACTGAATTGACATCTAGAATCTTTCCTGCGACTTGGATGTCTAGAGTAGACGATGAATATGCGTCACCGAACAAGTTTTCTTAACGATTCAAGAGTTTATTTCCATGATAAATTTGATGTAGATTTGATGCTGAATACATAAGGATGTCATGCTTTCCTTGGAAGATATCTCTCCATCCGTATTACGAGTAGCGTCTCTCTTTCAGCAATTCATACTCGAGTCATCAAAGGGCAAACGATGCGATTCTTGTGATAAATCCACGGAAATAATTTTGTAATTCGTTTTAAAATATCTTGAACTATAGTTTGGAAATACCTGTATGTTAATAAGCTCGCGATTTTAAGGTCCCGTTGACGCCATGAGCATCCCTGCCAAAACTTCTGGCTTTATAAAGGAACTCATTAAATTGATGAAAACAAATATATCCTGCAAGAGATATCGTGGGAAAAAAGAAACTGTTGTCTTAAGAATTAAAGGCTGAAAGTCTCTGCACCTGATGGTTGTCTGGCCAGCTCTCTCATCATCTGGACCTACATAGAAAGACAAGAACGGTTTCTCCTTAAGGGGATGCGATGCAGCGTCAACGTGTGATTGGGAGATCAGAGAGAATATTAAAGCTTCTCGCCCTCCATACCTTCCAAGAAATCCACAATATCCTGTCTGTCCAAGGCTTTCAGCACTTTAAGGAAAACGTTGTAGTACACATTTGGCATTTTTTGTGAAAAGGATATCGAATATCTTATTGAAACGTTTCTTCGGTTCCGATATGGCTTTGATTGTTTCTTCCTCGCTGAAGCCGAACACCTTCTCCTCGCTCGCACCCATGACGTCGAGCAAGTCATCGCTTGTCAAGTTACAGTTCTCCCGCAAGTGACTGCGATTCTTTCTAAGAATTTCCCACGTTATTTGCTTGCTCATCCTTTTCCTTTCTTCTGAGTGTCTGTGTTCGGTCCTTCACCCACGTCTTTCAATCTAAAAAAGGAAGTACGAACGTGGTTTTTTTCCCCCACAAATATTTGGGAACAATTCTACTAAAACTCCCTTGTTTTGTGGATCATTGACCTATTGCCTTATCTGTTTGCCATATTTCAGTTTTTCGGTTGATCTCTAATATCACTGACTGGAAGTTTTAACATACGGCAGCTTATATTCCCAAGGTAAGTCCTGAACTAATGCTGAGTCCACAAAGGGCATTTTTACCATTTGTGTTTTTTTTTCCAGAGGTCCAAGCAAATGTCCTTGAGCGTCACGATTAAAATTTACTTTTCGCTAAGTAGAAAGCTATCTTTGACGGAGAAGAGTAAATGAGGGAGGATTCAAAACTTTATGCCACTAGGTGATAAAAAAAGGTCACTGAAAGTTGAAAATTATTACTTATCTTCCATTAAGAAGTTAGGTAGCTTAGATCTCAACAGGTGCTTTTCTTCTGGATCACTGGGAGGTAAAGAATGGTGAAGCTGAGAACTAAGCTAGTGAAAGTTGATACAATTTTGTATAAATAAATAAAATGAATCTAATTCCATCCGTGTTTTCTTGATAAAAACGAAACAACCAACAAAAGATGCCCTAGATTTCGAAGAAAAATCTTGGAAATTGCAAAGTAAGAAACCATGATCTGGTCTGATCTGATGATGATCAAAATAGCGGTCTAAGCTCTTTTAGAAGACCATGAAAAGAAAATACTTCAATCGAGATGAATGCCTTGCCCCATCGATGGCAGATGTGTTGCGCTTTTCTTATCCACTTTGCCTTCCACATCCACTTCTCTACGAAATTTGACCCCATTCACTTCGTATACCAGTTTTCACTGCCATTGGCAGTCATGCCTTGCAGTTTATTTTCCCCTTATGTTATCATGGTTCTCCCCACCTGTTCCATTCGAATGGTGTTGGCTGCTGTTGCACTTGTTGTCCGTACGTCCTGCTTTTTTGTTGTTGCCAGAACTGATTAGGTCAGAATATTTATTTCTGGTATAACTTTTTCTACTTATCTAACTTTTGAGAAGACCGTAACCGGTCTAATTTTATCCTTGGACAATTCTTCTCCACATAATCTGCTTCTATCTGCATTATTGCGGCCTTTCCACATGGCTTCGCCCACCAGAGCCTTTGACTGGACTTCGGCGTTGAGTTTAAGTTGCTACATTGATCTCCTTTTCATTCCTGTTTTTCTCCAGCTCTACTGCAACCATGGTTACCACCATTAGAGAATATTTGGTGTCTCCCCATTTTCTTAAAATTGCCCGTCGTGGATTCCGCCTTTTTCTTATTGTCATCATATTAAGATGAATTGAGAGCTAGTTTCGCCTGGTCCATTTTTTACTTGTCCTTTCCACTCAATATCGATCTGGTGGATCGTGGGTTCAAATTCGAATTCAAAGTTCAATTCGAGTTCAAATTCGGATTCGAAATCGAAACCTCGCGAACCACTCTACCTGACTTTCATTACATTCATAATTTTCGCTGTCGTACCGATACTTGGGGCGTGAAAGGAAACATTCCCGTCACCTACTATGACATACATGACGGCGAAAGTCTCACCCGACTTCCATGTATTACTGACAGCAGATTCTTTTCCCTCCCCGTAACAGAATTGCATCAGTTTTCTAAGGAGATTGTGTTGATTTATGTAATTTGCCACATGAACGTAAAAATGTTCCAATTCAACTTTTCGATCCTCCTTTGTATTCATTACTAATAAAATATATGACATGGTTTTCGTGAAAAAGGTTTTACTTTAATTTTTGCTTCATACTTTCCTTGAGGCGGTGTCGGGAAATATGTTTAGAGTTTGAACATAGAATGATAGTTATTTGTCATATCATTTGTTCCAATATTATTTGCAATGTAGTGCGTATCTTTATGGAGTTTACGGCAATAGTCAATGAGAAAATGAGAGTGTCATTCTTCACTTCTTGCTTCACTGCAACGCTTCTTGAGTGTCATTTTTCGGATGATCTCCACCCAAAATTGATTGAATTTTTGGTGCGTCAAGCAAGGCATTAGGCTTTCAATCTTTGAAATCACTGGCTGGTTTAGACGCGAGAACAAGCCTATACGTGCATGAAGGTTACTTTCATGAGGAGTTCTTTTTTTATTAACTCGGGAAACTGACGCGAAAGGACGAAATTATGGGGACTTCCTTTTTTACGACATTTTGCACGAGTTCGCGAAGTCGTCTTGTATTATGCGCTAATTTTTTTAAATATCAGCAGTGTAGCAAAACATACCGTTGTGTTGAAAGTGAAAGGAGAAGTGGAACGATGAAAACGGTTCCCTCCACGCGTGACGATATCAAAATGGTCCTGCATTCCATTCTTATGTCTCAGATAAGGGAAGGTGACTAGCAGTTTTACGACGCTGCTTCCTTTTTCTTCTACTTCATGGAGGGCAATATCTTCTTCATACATGTATTGATGCTGATACGACGAGTTCGTCTACAGAGGATTTGTGCCGTTCCAGCCAGAGAGAGAGTTACCATATTTACGTGCAATGACGTCAGGGAGACATTCCGCTATAAAAACAAGAGCAGCGGTCTGCTGGAGTTACCTCCCTCGCGCGTACATCGGCAACCTCTCTTGCTCTCCTCCCCTCCATCAATAAACTCACTCTTATCATATCAGACCTGAGCAGCACTGTATCATGTGTTGCAGATAGATAATCCTCTTCACCACAGTCTCCACTATAAGAGGTAGGGAAAAAGCTCATGTATCATGAGAAAAACCATTCATTTTTAAAGATGTACTCTCATAATTTGTGTGCATCCTAGCTGTGTCTCTGCGCGCTACAATTCCAGCGGGGTAAAATGAAAAGAGGCCCTTAAAGAGTCCCGTGTCATCTTCCACGTCCTTTAACACTCTCATGATGTCGCTTTGCAGGCAGCATTAAAACAGCATGAGCCTCAACTCGGTCTTTCAGGATAACCCCAACATTCTAAGCCACATTCAGATCAGGAGAGTTTCCTGGTCCTCTCGCATTTCCAAAACAAAATTCAATCCTGAGTCCTTCCGCAGTTGCCGTGAGGTCAAAGCTTCGAAAAATAGGGTTTCATCAGCCAGAAGCTGAACATTAAATCTATTTTGAAACCCACGAACGAGTTGAATTCAGCTCTGGCATCATGAGCTCGAAACGTAATAGCACGAATGCGATCAATGAATTAAAGTTCTTCATCATCGGATGACATCAGAAAAAAAAACAAAACGGGTTTGAATAGATTCCAAATTAAACGAGGACTCTAAATATATATTTAAACATTTCTTAGCTCCTATAGTTTAGGTTGTGGAAGGGGGGGGCTATCTATGCGTAACACCTTGTACAATGCAAAGAGTCAACTAAGAGAGAAAGCAACTCTCGGAATCCAAGGGACGAAAATTATTAAAGGAGGTTCATAATGTCCTGTCACTATTACGAAATTAAAAAGACAGGAGCCAATGAAAGTCTTTGTAAGACGAAGGTCCTTTCCACGAATTCCTAAACTGCAATGAGTTGGTTGAAACACTGCCAAGAGAATCTCTTCTAAAAAAAATGGACACGCTATCTAGTTGTTGGAAGAAGTTAGCAGTATTCGCCTTATTGAGTGACGGTTGCTCCAGAAGAAACCTTTTCGAGAAAATATCAAACTGTCGAAAATCGCCATTTTGCATTTTGGCGGCGATCTCTTTAGCTCTTTCAATGTGTTTTCCCTTACCGTAATCATTGTACGCATGTGAACTTTGCGTAACACGAATGAACCGGAATCAGAAGCCAAACGAATTAAACTCATTAGGTGCAACTGATATGGATCTTTAATGCAACCTTGCTAAGATTTTGATTTCGGCTTCAGGTAGGCTATTTTGGTCAGCGTACTTTGAATGATCGGCATCTGTTTCTTCTCTTTCCATGATATTTCACTGCTTCTGGTCTTGAAATCGTCCGCCATAATTCCTGCGACCATGGTGAGCATCCTCAACACGTCCAGAGTCTCGGAATGCTTCTCAAAGACCTTACACAATGTATATATGAAGTAGGATCCCACGTGCCTATTTCTGAATGCAACATGACCTGGCCGACCAGATGAAAGAAATACATGTTATACCAGAACCGAACGATAAATAAAGGAATAATTGCTTAGCACTGACCCTCGTAGGTGGCGTGAGCAATGAGGATGTTGGCATGGGTGGGAAGATGATATTCCTTATTTTGTGCGGGTCCGTCGTGTTCGTCACCGCTAAGGCAGTCACTGTTCAACTTTTTCTTCACACCATCGTCGATACGTTCACCTCGGCATGCCTACTTGGAATAAATGCAGCATTGCATGATAAAAAATAAATGAACTAAAATTTCTAGTTAAGAAGAACTATTTTTTTCGGGTGAAAGTGAGGCTGTGAGAGTCGTAACGATGGACAGAAGCAATTGATTATGCAGCCTGGTATGGATTTAAAATCATTTATCTTGTACGATGTGTTACCTAACACTGTTTATTATACCTGAATGAAGAATAGCTTTGGTTTATCAACCAGAGCCTTGCATTCATCCCCATAGAAGGGACGCCACAGTTCCTCTTCCATGAAGGTTTTGTTTTTGGCGTAGAGGAGACCTCCTTCTTCCCCATGAGAGAGGAAGCAGACAATTAGGCACTCATGTTCTTCAAGTTCTGGCGATTGAGAAACTGCAATCAGAGTAGTAGATAATCAGTTTCAGCTATACAGCGTGTGTAAAAAATAAATGAACTGTTTATAAATGTATATATAAATGTATAATATAAAGCGATAAATATATGAACTATGTATGGTATGAGCTGTGATAAATGAACTACTTTATTTAAAAGAGTG